CTCTCTCTTTCTCTCTCTCTGGGGGTCACAGGTTCAACCACAGGCCGGTGCCTGGAGGGATGGCCACAGGAAGATAACGCACATGAAGGGCACTGGGGGAGAAAGGGAGGGACCGAAAGAGAGAGGCATACCCAAGCAGTTTGTATATATTAAACAAAAAGGAAGAAATTGGAAAACGCAAAAGTTGGGCCAGGTTAAACTTTTATGCGGGATGATAAAATAAAAAGTTATTTTAATATTTATTTTTGGTTTTAATTATTTAATTGTATTTTAAATGTCCCTTTAACGCTCTTTGGTCAACACCTGTTTGTTTTTTTGTTTGTGCTCTTTAAATACAATTGACTTGACTGGAGTCGGCATCCCCATTGTGTCAAAGCGGTGGTCTCATTGAAGTGAATAGAAGACTTTCATGCAGTGCTAATGTCAGCCTGAATACCTCCTAACAACCACATAAATGAATCTTCAAATACCATTACTACATGCTACCTGCACAGACACACACTATACTGAAATTCACATGCATTTATAACTGTGTATACAACTGCCCTGTTAACCTCTACAGTCACTTTCATGAAGAAGTTGAAGTTATATATATTTTTAAATTAATGAAATCATCATTTTATTATTATTATTATAAGTTGAAATGAACAATTATGTCTTGTAGTTTTGTAGTGGCAGTGTGGAACACATTTAAAGGACTCACAAGCTGATCCAGATATTTTGATGCTGGAAAAACTGAAATAATATAAAATAAGAACAACTGTGACCCACAACATTATGATTTTCATGAGTGCTGCGAAAATAGCCTAATTTGTTGGAAAACAGCACACAGTCAGCAGTTGAGTTTGCAATGTGAGTAGGTTTGAGTTGGATGGATGAGCACTTGCATAGCACTTACATGCCGTTGACGGGAGGGGATTTTGGGTCAGTCTGAGTTTTTGTTTGTTGTCAGGAAACCTTTTCACACAGTTTTCCCCTATCCTGGTCTCACCACACACTCTCACAGACAGTCACACACTCTCACATGAGCAGCCGACTAAACTCACTTTCATAAATCTCTGATCATTTGGCCAGACGCTGAGCGAGCTGATTAGCTGGTGCATGCCCGAACTGCCAAGTCTGCTTAAAAGGGCACCAAGTGGGCACGACATGGGCACCCTACAAAGCTGTGTGTGTGTGTGTTTGAGAGTGTGAGTGTATGCTCACTAGAGCTGGAATAATCAGCAACTATTCTGATAATCAATTAATCATCATTTCTCAAGCAAAAATGCCAAAAAGTTCTCTAGTTCCACCTTCTCAAATGTCAGAATTTCTGCATTTAAAGATCTTACGTCACAAAAAGATGAATAAAACTTGCAGTGCAATGTGGCAGGTATTCAAATGGGTGTATACAGTATGTGTTTATATAAATATATGTTGAGCTAAAGTTTATAATATAACTGACAAGAAGAAGAGAAAGGGTAGAATCAGAATCAGAAATACTTTAATAATCCCAGGGGGAAATTATTTAAAATAAAAATAAATAAGTAGAATTAAGTGTATACTTACTCGTATTTCTTTGTGAGATTTAATCATGTGTTGTTTATAAGGACTTATTCATTGAATTTGTGTATAAGGTTATTATTTTGTCTTGATTTTTTTTTTTATGTTAATAAATATAAACAAACAAACAAAATACTAATGGTACCTAACAAATTGTTATTGTGCCTAGAATTTGATATGGTTTTATTTATAAAAGTGGTGTGTTATTGTTTCATGCTAACCCTCCACATTCATGTTTAAAGTGAAGAGAAAAGTTCAACATTATCTGCTTGTGAGCTCCATTACATACTGTAATTACACATTATCTTGATTGAATCTGTCATGTTGGAAGTATGATTTTCTTGACAGGGTTTTCAAATTAAAGGTTCAGAGAGAAGAACAATAACATTAGAGAAATGTTTGGACATGGAAGTACTAAAACTGTGTAGTTTTTGGGGTATCTTCACCTTAATTTCAATGGCAGACAGTAGACAGGGGTTGAGGGGAGAGGGAGGAGAGATTGACATGCAACAAAGGTAATGTAAAATATTTAGTATGTGTTAATGCTTTTCATTTTGTGTACTTTCCAGATGCTGAGAGAGGGAAAAGAGGTATACGATGAGAACATCCACTATCCTCTCCTCATCACCTTGACCAAAGGACCTCAACCTGTCAGCCACACTCAGTAAACCAAAACAAGTGAGCCCTCAGCTCCACACACTACCACTCCACATGCATTTGGATATTTAAGATGGATTGAGCCTACAGAGTCATATCAACAATGTGATCCATGAGTGATCAAAGTGAGGAGGAAGAATTGTACTGAAAGAGCAGTATTAAGCTACGGTAGAGTAGGGTTTGTTGCAAAGTTTAGTCAAATTGGCACAGAGCGAATCAAGTTGTGGTCATATTGGAGACATTTTTCATATTGATACTGGCCACTGAGAGCGTTTATTATCAGATAGTGCATGGCTTTGGACAATATTTGGGCGTGCATGTTTTGTAGTTTGAAGTGTTTGTGGGGAACAACCTCATTTCCAAAGCAGTGGGGATACTTTCACTGCAGCTGGGAGAAAGAAAAGGAGAGGCGGATTTATTCTGACCTAGTATGTTTTAACCATCTGCCATATGCCAAATAACTACTGTCAGTCTCAAAATAGTCAGTCGGTCAAACCATTTGACCTAACACTTCATTATCACAATCATTAATCAATCAGTCTAATCAGCTAGTTATCCCTTTGAATAATCAACCATCCACGAAAGTGAACCACATTGCCAAACAGTCCTCTGGACAGCCAGATAGATAAACAGTCAGTATTCAGTTATCTTATATGGCTGGTTAATTATCCAGTTATCTAGTTATCATTAAAGCTAACAAGCCAATTTAGTTTAGTCAGTTAACTAGCTGTTCAGTCAGTGAGTTTCATGGGCATTTCCTCCGTCAGTCCTACTGTAGGTGTCAGTTATTCAGTCTGTTGGCCCTCTTTAACTGTCAGTATTAACCTATGCCACTGTGTTTCTGGCCCCAGCATGGAGGCCAGCTTTAATTCATTCACTATCACAGACTGTGGAGCAACTCACAGTTTCCTGTGCGTTTCCTTTATTTCTTTGTTCCCTTCTTCCGCTACTTTAATTTCTTCTAATAGAACTTATTCATCCCAGTCAGAGGTCAGTTTTAATAACTTCTTTTGTGCGTTACTTACAACAGTGCATTAATACATTAAGGTGCTTTCAGACTGAGGAGCAGTTTTTGCTGCCCAGGAACTACAGCTAGCATATTCCACAGCAACATCACCACTGATAATAATAAGTAATACACTGTACGTCACATAATGTCATTTTATTTATTACACAGCTCTGTTGGTGTTATAATCTGTGAACTGTACAACATGTTCTGACTCTCCAATCCCACCAACATCACCACCGCCTCCTGCTTTACTGCTAGTTTGTTAAAAAGTTGCTACTGATGGATTTCAAAAACAAAACGCAGCTCCATTTTGTCTGCTGTCATGACTGCTCCAGCTCGCACTGACAGCGCTGGATTTCAAAGATAACTGGGGCTGGCGAGTCTATTTGAGTCGCCAGCTGAATCCTACGTCACTTCATTCGCAAACATTTCGCGCTTTCAAAGCTTAAAATGAGTCATCAGACTGGCAAAAATCAGATCCTGTGGCAGCTTCTAAAAGCTCCTAGTCTGAAACCACCTTCAGGAAGTGCGTGTGTCTAAAGCGAGACAGAAAGAGAGAGAGACTACAATGACTCCTACTCACATTTATTGACAAGTGACCCAAATACTGTGGAATAGATAGAAAAAGTCATATGCTATACAGAGCAGGGTTTCTTTGCATCTTTTTTTCTTCTTCTTTTCTTTTTTTCCTTGTATGTACCCCCAATGTCCACTGGTTGCAGACAGTCTGCTGCCAACTCCAAGTTCAGGGCCTATTTGTGCAGGGGCTACTGGTGTCTCTGAAGTGCAACATTTACATTTTGAATGTATGTACTGCCTACATAATGACAGTTGACAGGAACATTCATATTTAATGTTGTCTTAATTTGTTATTGATTTAGTCTTTATGTGTATAGAACACAACTATATTTTTCTGTTTGTTTATGTCACCTCTCCAGTTAGGTCTGTAAAGCAGGAAAAGGAATGTTCCGGTTTTAATTCTGCTAATATACACTACTCAGATAGATACAAAGATGGCATGCTGCGCTCCATAACTCAAAGTGTTACTCCAATGATCATAACTGAGCTGCAAATATGTTTGTGTGTATGCATGTAAAACACAAAAATGTCAGCCAAACCACTCAAAACAATATTTGAATATTATATTCAATATTATATTTAGCTGCTTGAACAGGAACACTGTGCAGCCACATCCAGTGGACATTTGGGGTTAGAATATTTTTTAAATAGATCAAACATAGTTCATGAAAGTCACACAATGTCCTGATAGCTTCAAGCGAAAAACCTTCACACATTCAGACCATGCTCCTCTATTTTCTGTTGGCATTTCTTTTTTTTTATCAGCACAATTAACTGCTTCACTCAGGTCTTTTCCAATGCATTCAGCTGTTCCCTGTTTTCCTGAAGTGTCAAGCCTAAAGTTATACCTATCTATCACTAGTGAGGTGTTTCCATATTTCACTGTGATCCATTGCTGTATACAACAGCCAAGAAGCTATGCAGTATCTCCCAGTGGCTGCTGTTTACATTCCTCATGTTGAAACGGAATAATCCACCTTCAGAAATAAGAGGTATTCCCTGTGTGTAACTACTCAGAAAAGTAAATTAAGCCAGTTTTATCAGTGGTCTCAATGCTTTGAGGACTTAAATTGCATTGCAAAAATGTTCCCATTGCAAAGGGTTTAGAAGTATATTTAATTACATTTTTATCTGTAATGCAGCTTTCTGTACACCTTTGATATCTGTGGGCTAACACAGAAACACTACCAGTAAAGTGACTTCATCACTGTCTAGTGACATCACCACCACTAACAGTGGTGTAATTTTACAACACACTGTTTACTGTGACATCCACGCTGCTTCTTCCAACGTCACTGCCTCTATTTATGGCAAAAAAAAAAAAAAAAACTTGGTGCACCCTTGTGCCCTCTGCTGTGATGTCACGTTTTCACAAGTGATATCATCACTTCTTGTTGTGATATTAGTGCTGTGTGCTCGGACAGTTACCACCTCTCACTGTGACATTGACAGACAGAAACAACTCATAGTCAGTATTATTCAGAGAAGGTCGTGTAGTCTTTATTTGGATTTGCTGGCTAATAACATTAATAGTGAGAAACCCAACAGTTGTTATAGGCCAGAGACGAGGATCTGTGTTGCTGCTGAGAATTGGGCAAACATCATACAGGAATGCTCTAATGCTCCAAACAGATTTATGTCACTGTGTTGTGGGGTGTCTCAGCTATGCTATTATTTTGATTATAATACTGAATTCTTGGAATTGTTTTGCAGGCCATGTCCACACTAATTCAGATTGATTTCAAATTGGATCTATTCTTTTTAATTTGGGCCTTCTTTCTGCACTCAAAACGTTTAAGCTGCTTCTGCTGCATTTCACTGTGTAGGGACACCGGACAGTTTCAGAAATATTAATGTACAATTATCATGTGATTTGGTGTAAAGGTCTGGCTCAAGTGTTCTGTGCATGGTCTTGTAGAGTGGCTTATAGCTTTTTAATTTTAATATTGTTTTGGGGTTTGACACAAACATAAACCTGTTTACTTCAATGAAATATTCCAATGTATCCACTTTAGTGTGGACATGGCCTCACATAGTGAGTTTGTCTGTTCAGTAGGCCTATATCAAATTTCCTCTGCTTCACTGTAATCAATGCTGTCACTGCAGTCTAAGGATGAGTGATTTTGTGAACAAATAAAAATAAAAACATTTTCTTCAAGATATCTAACATTTTTTCTTTTTCAATGAACAACGGACAATTTCATACATCATCTGTAGCTACGACATTATTTAATTAATAAAACCCTGCTCATAATTGAAATTTGTATTGTAATTAATTATTACAAAATAAATGTTACCTCAACATTTTAGGATCACAAAAACAAAGACAATATTCTGTCACCTTGCAGATGTGTATAATTTTAATGGTTATCATGTGGAGACAGCTGACAAAGCTGCTTGTGAAAAAAAATGTGTGTGTTCCATTATTAAATCCAGTGTTAACAGATGTAATAAAGTTTCCTTCAGGCCTAGATCGGCCATGGCCTGTGTTTCAAACACAATGGTCCCCTGCAGGCTAAGCTGGTGCCAGACAAGGTAACACACACACACACACACACCACACACAACACACACACACACATATATCAAGCCCAGTCAACAGTCTACTCCTCCACAGGAAGAAAAGAGAGAGGGATAAAGGAGGGAGGGAAGGCAGTACATAGCAGCTAATCCTGCAGGCTCACTCTGTTTATCAGTCAGAAGGAGGGAGGGAGAGTTAGCAGAAAGGGAGGGACCAGCAAGGCCTCCTGATCTGTCTTTTGATATTTTAAAAAGGGCTGTTCTCTCCTCCCCAACACTCTGCCGGAGAGACAGAGAAGAGATAGAAAATGCTGCATACAGAGAAAAGACACAGAAAAAGGCTGAAAAAGACAAGAAGGCAGGGGAGAAACAGAGAAAAGAAATGGGACAAGACACTCCGAATGGCTGGAAGGAAAGGGGAAGTGAGACAGCTGGAAATGAGGTGAAAGTAGATCGAAACAGCGGGGAAAAAGCTTCAGCCGTGAAAGAAAAGAGAAGCTGACTGAGAGACTGAGATTGACTGGCCAAGTGAGTGATCGAACAGAGAAAAAGAGAGAGACAGAGTGCTCCCGGCTCGACACAAGGGCCCCATTAACTTGACCACTTGCCCTTTGCACACAAAGGCAGGGCCGGCCCACTGCCCCTCCCACCCAATTATCCACGATTAGGCTCAGTGCACTGTGTCAAGATGGAGAGGGAAGGAAAAGAGGAGAGGGGGAGAAAGGCGAGCACAGGGAGGAGGAAGAAGGGGACAGAGGGAGTAAAAGATAGAGAGCAAGAACTGGAATGAAGTGAGGAGTGGTCGACAAAATTTTTGTTAACATGTAAGGGATCCAAATGTTTGATTTAGCACCCTCAATGCAAATGAGTGTCCCCTGGAAACTTCTGCTACTATGATTGGAAACTTGAATCTGTATTTGCTTGTTTTCCTATATGCAGTGTGTTTCTGTACATCATGTATGTGTTTCAGTTTGCTTTTCTTTGATCCATTAGCAGATTCTCCTCGAAATTAAATATATGTGTTGTCATTTGCTTGTGTTTTCTTAAATCACCTATAATGATTCACTTTTTGGCCACTGAGGGGCGGCAGAATAAGCTACGACATAATATTATCTTATAAAGTTATGTTGAACATTCCAGCAAACACTTGTCTAGTTACACATTCAGGTGAAACAGAGCGAAATTAGCATTTGAAGTTGTGTTTCTGGCCTGTCACTCAGCTGTTTTTGTCTCCACCAACTTCTGTGAGAAATATCTGGCTGATTAGCAGCTAAATGCTCCACTATGTTCACAGCTAGTTGTTAACTGTCCGATGTTGGGTGGGTTGTGAGTAGTGGGTTTATCAGAGCTTTGTTACTGAAAACAGCTGCTTTATTGAACATAAAGTGTAATGTTATGGGCTGTTAAACCAAAACAATGAGCTAAAAGACTAAAAAGCTTAATAGAGCTGAATGGGACCTTCACATTAAACATACAGTAGTCATTGATCCACTATTGCATCAAACTTTCTTGGCCACCATAAATTAGTGCATGTATGCAAGTGAGTAGGGTGCAATAAAGGTACAAATGTATGAACCTTTTAGCAACCAACATGGTGACCCCCCTCCCCCCACACACACAAAACAGTCGCACAAACATCGCCCTCAGTGACACAATATCCACTGTCCAACGAAACCCACCAACCGATACAGTGCACCTTCCCCCTCACACTATGCTGTGTAAACATACACACATGTGAAGGCCGATACAGCAACATGCAAACAGCTCCGACATAAGAATGCACACACAGAGACAAATAGACAAATCTACTTCACAACACTTACCATGGGCTCAGCTGCAGTCCAGCCATGTTGTGTCGTGTTGTGCTTTGTTGATATTCTGCCGCCAGCTAGCTGGCATCCCCAGGGCCTTGGACTGGTTGCCACTGCAGCATGGCACACAGAAAACAGACACACATGGAAAATAGACACACATACTGTATATCTGTACGGTCTATGACTAGCATTTTGGTGCCACAATGCCTGCAGCTCTCCAAAAAGACTTAACTCGTCTTAATTTTCATTTTTGAAGCACAAGGTCAAAGAAAGTGGTATTTAATTTTATCTGTTCAGCCTTTGTATTTTATTTAATTTACTTTCATTTGACAACACTCACAATTTTCATGCCATTGTTTTATATTTTCTAAAGTTAAGTAGTAGTTAAGACACTTTATAGCCATGCCTGCAAATTAACCAAGAACATGTTTATGTTTTGTATGCCTTTTTACCCCAAAACCTTTAGCTTTTTGACTAAAAACATCTTAAAATTCACTACATTTGCCAAAAACTGTCTAGATAGCATATTCAGGCATGCACATACACTTTTTATCACACTCTGTGAGATACAGATGGTGTGTGTCAGGTGGGCTCAGGTGACTGACCTGCACACTTTGAACCACAACCATGGACTAAAATGAGCCATATGTTCGGTGTATATATTATGTGTGTGTGAGCGTACAGTGTGTGCATCTGACAGGCCAACATGTTTACCCGTCCCCTGCTCTATTTTGTACCCCCCTCCCCTCCTCACCACTTCGTCCATCTCCCAAAATCTCTCAAAACCTTTCAAGCCTTTTCCTCTCTCTTCTCCTCCTCAAGGCAATTTGAGGAGGGCTTTTTAAATGATCCGCTCATTATCGGTAGTGGAGTCACTTTGGTTTTTCAGCTCCGTCTGCTTGCCTTCCTGCTTCCTCCCCACCCCCCCTCTCCTCTTTATCTCTCCCTGTTTTTTAAGGGTTTTTTCTGCTTGCCCCCAACCCTCCACTCTCACCCCCTCCCACTTCTCCCTCCAGAATGGCTTTTTGGTCCGTTTGTTTGTGCTCATGAAGTGGAATGCAGCAAAGTCCCTGAGAGCATTTTTTCTTTTTTTCTTTTTTTTTTCAAATTTAGAAAGCCATCGACTATGAGTTGACGTGGAAGAGTGGGAGCTACCCCCACCTCCCACACGCACACACAAACACACACCACATTCACAACCCTCCTTGTACGCACACCTGATGCCGGCCTTGACGACAATAATGTTTTCCATTACAGGAGACGGAATTGGGAAATATGTGGAGGTGGAATTCTGTGGTATTAATGTAGTCACTTGGAGCAGGGGGGATAGGATATTGTCTATACAGAGTGGGAAATGTGTGTTTATTATTGTGTATCCTTTAAAAATTTGCTTTTGTCACTCGTATACAAGGTTAACAGTAGTAAACACAAAATGAATTGTGCGTCGGCTCCCATCTGTTCTTTCAGAGGCTCTGTAGGCTGCTTGTAGTTATCCTCATTCACCTGTTCAGCCCCTCCATCTCTAATACCCATTAAACCTCTCCATCTGGATATGCAGGAGGCTAAGTTCACTGACTGACTTATTTGCTGACTGACTGGAGCGAGTTGAGGTCAGTCTGGAGGCTGGCAATATATACGCACACACACATGCACATTCACACAGTACAGTGATGCTTACACATGAGCTTATAGCAATGGGCTAATTAAGGGGGCTGTGCTGTTGACGAAAGCACTCAACTTATCGCTGATTAGGTCAGGCTGGGTGGACGTGAAAGACACGGAGAGAGAAAGAAGGAAACAGACTGTAAGACATATAGAACGACACAAGTGGTTTGTGTTGGTTGAGAGTCCTTCCTATAAATGTTGACAGTCTCTTTTGGCAGTGTTTACCCTACTTTTTAATGGCAGAGGGCTGACATCAGCCACTGTAGGAGCTGCGCTGAATTAACACCTGCCTCTCTGCATACAAGCAGCTCCTTTCTGTGGCATTGTTTGCCTGTGACTTTGTCAGCCAGTTAATCAGTGAGGCCATCAATCAGTCTGTGAAACAGCTACTTTGTCAGCGAGCCACCAAATCTTGACATTTAATGAGCAAGACAACCAATTAGTAAATTCAGCAGACTTACTCTAGCACAGCATACATTATGTGGTGTCATTAACATGTTAGAGCTTAGTCCCGTGGGTTCAAAGAAAACGAATCAGTTGTAAAAATCTGTCGTGAAAATTTAGAGGGCACAACTCAAGTGACTTCTTGTCCACTTTCAATGTGAATAGCTTGTCTGTCATATCTTGGCAAACCTTAATATATGATATTACCTTCCTGTGTACCCACCTGTCAGCCTCCTCACCTTGTTCTCTTTCCATTTATTTTTCTCCTCTTCTTTCCTCCTCTTCTTCCCTCCTCTCTTCTGCCCCCTCTTCTCTTTGGCCTATGTGCCTGTGGTCGCCAGGGCAACAGCTCTAACCTGCCGACCCATGTTCCCGTGGGCCAGGGGGCCATTAGGGGCCAGTCAACAAGCCTCTCTTCCTGCCACAAGTGGTGCTGGCGGGATGGAGAGGGTCCTCGTCTCTGCTTTGAAGGTCAATGAGGCCACAGCCTGGCACTCTGCCGGTGACTCTTAGGCCCCCCAGACCAGCACAGCAAAGTAGAGCTTTGGAACGAAGGTCCAATTCAACCACACACAGGTATAACCATTGTTACAAGTCCCTGGTTTGAGTGCATATCCTGCATGTAACAGTGAATTACTGCTACACTTTTACCCCATCCAGCAATAAAATCAGTTAGATATTTCAAAGTGTCCTATATTTCATATCACTAAGTGTAGTCTGACAAGCATACTTTTGAAAGGCTCAGGTTTTTTATGATCACTTAATTTACTGGTGGAAAAATG